CCGCTGCGGGGGTGAAGGTGGATTTGAGAACTCCCGGCCCAGCAGCGCGTGGTTAATCATTCTCCCACCCGGCCCCCAGCAGCCCTCCTCCCAGCAGCACCCCCACCTCCTGGGGCCGCCCTCGGGCTCCCCGGACACCTGTCCCCAGACCGCCAGGGCCAGGAGGGGCCTTGGTGACCCCCACGGGGGACCCTCATGGCGTGCAACCCTCGGAGGCTGAGGACTGGCCCAAGGTCACACGGCCAGTGCCTGCGTGTTCTCCCTCACATGGGCCCTGGGGAGCCTTCGCGCCTGCCCCTCCTTTAAAAAATATTTTTATTGATTTCAGAGAGGAAGGGAGAGGGAGAGAGAGAGACATCCGTGATGAGAGAATCATGGACTGGCTGCCCCTGTGCGCCGCCCACTGGGGATGGAGCCCACAACCCAGGCCTGTGCCCTGACCAGGAATCGAACCCTGACCTGCTGGGTCATAGGTTGATGCTCAACCCCTGAGCCACACCGGCCGGGCTCACCTACCCCGCCTTTACCCAGAGCAGCTGGGATCGCAGCTCTACGGGGCGGCAAAGGGGGGGGGATGCCTGTCCCCAAATGAAGGTGGGGAGAGGGAGGGTGTCGCAGGGAGGGGGTGGCCGGGCCGCCCGGATGGGGGAACCACGGCCCCTCCCTAGGCCTGGCCTGGAGCCCCAGAGGTCAGTGGGTTGGCCACGGGGTTTCCCCAAACCTGCTCTCTCGGCTGCTCCTGGGCGGGGAGTCCCACGCGCTCGGGACCCCAGGCTCCCTCCTTCCTCTTCGCAGCTGTGGGCTCCAGGGAGGCGGCGTCTCCCTGAGGGGGGTTGGCTTTGAGGTTCTGTCCTGGGATAGAGTCTCGGTTCCTTTTTTTAAATTTTTTTTTTTAGTATTTTAATTGATTTCAGAGAGAGAGAGAGAGAAACATCCATACTGAGAGAGGATCACTGACCGCCTCCTGCACGCCCCGCACTGGGGATGGAGCCGGCAACCCGGGCCTGTGCCCTGAGCGGGAATCGACCCCTGACCTCCTGGTTCACAGGTCGATGCTGTAACCACTGAGCCACGCCGGCCGCACTTAGGTTCTATCTTTCCCGTCACTTTCCACGCACTGTGCGAATCTGCACTGACCGCATGTGGGTGCAGCGCCCGTAGCCACCTGTAGAGGGCGCCACCGAGAGGCCGCGGCCCCCCCCACCCACTGGCTGCTGTC